AAACTGCCCCAGAACAGTGAAAAGGCCCAAAAAATAACAGCCAAGATACCTGAATTCATCTCGTTGGATGACCAGCCGTTATCTGTTACCTTTTTGTTCTCTTAATGCATTGCATAAAGATCGGATCGGGAAAAATCGGTATCGGCAGATTGTCAAAATCAAATGATCAGAATCGGATCGGGAGCAAAAAAAGGTGATCGGGACATCCCTATTCCTCACACATACACTCAATCTTTTCTCAGCTGCATCTCCGCCGATTTCTCCTCCCTGAGACGGTGGGACGCGGCGAGGCTGTGAGTCGGTGTGTGAGCAGTGCACACACACACAAACTCCCAGCCAGGCTGCGGGTGTGTGTGTTCAGGCTGTGTCTCGCTGTCTCGCAGACGGCCACTGGGTTCACAGGGAGGGGGGGGGCAGGAGTTCCAACAAGCCGTTTAGGACAGAGAGTGAATACACATATTATACAGAGATGCTGTATGAGAAACCAATGTGAGTTTGGAAAATTGCACAATGTAAATCTATCCTAGTAGACCTCAACAATGGAATTATGATCAGTAGAAATGGCCATGACATGGGACCTTTAACCTAATCATGATGTTTTGTCTCTTTTTGTTTCCTCTTTAGGTAACCAGGAAGTGGAGGACCTGGACTTCGATGACGCAGAGTTGTTGGCCACTCTGGAGGCCCAGGAGGAGGGGGGGAGGGCTCAGGGCGGTCCTGTTGGAGACAGTGGCTACGGGACGCTCAGTGAGACCTACATTCAGTCCTCCAGGAGCTCCTCAGTCAGGAGCCACGCCTCGACAGCCTCGTCCAGGTGGGAGGTTAACAATATAATATCTTGACATTCTATGCCTGAAACTCCTCTGTGTTGTTCATATACTTTGACATTTAGAATTTAAGCATAGTGTTTGTCTTAAAAAAAAAGAAGATCTGCATTTATCCTACAGCTACTTTGGGAAGCATTTCACACGTTGATTCAGCCTTCTTTGACGATCCATTCTGCATAGACAGAAATAATTTACAATACATTTAAATATAACGTCATCCTTTTGATTTGAGTGAAAGACAGTCATTTCCACCACAATTATGAAATAATATGAAAAACGAGCTGTCCAATTATTGTAGTTTAGTAGCTGTAATCAAAGATAAAACACAACAGTTAAGAGTGATTTCTGATCTAGGATCTTGGTACCCTTGTTTTAGAGCATGAGAGTATTCCATTTGTTCCCAAAAGACTCCTACCTCTTAAAATAGTCTGACCATATTTGTTTTTATGTATATGATCATTTATTATGACCTCTGCCTCAATGGCCCATCAACATTGTGAAAAACCCTTGGAATGCTTCACAAACTCAGTCTGACATTTTTTGGCTGGTCTGTTACAGAAGTGGTTTGAACCAGAGCAACAGAGGTGGTTCAGTCCAAGGTCGTCGCCAGGGTAACGAACACGAGGACTTTGACCTTTCAAATCAACCAGAGATCCCAGCTCACAACATGCCAGATGAAGACTTTCCCGACGAAGACTTTGACGATCTTCCTCTGGATGAGTTGGACGGTATGATTTTTCAAGAGAGTACAAACATTACTGCGCAGTCTGCCATCAGTCACAGGAGCACGCCACAGAACAACAACAACATACAAACAGGAAATCCTAACAGAGCAACAAACGCCCAAACTGCTCCGTACGATCAGCACACTTTGAATGACTCTGATTCACAAATTGGATCAAACAACTCCAGGTCCAACACACAGAAAAAAGACTATCAAGGCTTTGCTAAAAGAGCAGCAGCTTTCGAATCAGATTGTGTTGCTGACGATGAAAGTGATTTCATGGATGAAGAAATGGATTGCTTTCTTGCAGAGTTAGATACTGGGAGGTTAAATCAGCTCCCTGTCCATCAAGGACCTAGCAAACAAAGAGAGAGCTCTACCAACAAAACAGACACTGCAGGCTCCAGCTGTAGGATTACCAGCGCGTCATCAAGAAGTGTAAAAGAGTCTGCATTTGAGAGCTCACATAACACACCTCAAGTGCAAAATAACAGCTCAACCACTGCAGTAATTGATAGACTATCTGCTCGAACAGAACCTCAGAGTAATTCCTCAGCTCCTGCTCTCTCGCTGACCTCTCCACCTTTTACATATTTGTCTCTTCTTGAAGAGATGATGTCCCAACCTCAACATCCCCCCACAGAGATCCGAGTCAAGGCTTTCATTGTGACTCTCTTGGGAAAACTGAGCAGCACCAACGGTTTTTGGCGCGTCTGTGCCACAATATCCGACGGAACAGGGTACATGGACGTGGAACTGTCCAACGAGGTTTTGACGGGCCTGCTGGGCTTCTCGGTGGCGGAGAAGGGGGCTCTGAAGCGTGACCCAGCCCGGAGAGGGGAGCTGGACCACGGAATGAGGAGGTGTCAGGAGGAGCTGGTGGACATGTGCAGTGTTATGACCATCGTGCTCGGGCCAGACGGAGGAAAAGCTGTCGTGACCAGGGCCGACCCCGTCAACGAGAAGGTGGTCCATCAGCTGGAGCAGAGGGTGAGGGACGGGAGGAAATAGACATGAGGGGAAGTGGGGGCGATAATGAGAAAATTACAGGCAGGGGAGAAGTTTATTGCCCTTAAGCAAAGATGAAAAATTGCAAATATATGCATCGCCTTGAAAATTCTCCCTCAGGTAATGAAGCTAAGGTGGGTTTTTTTTTAGGATTGGTATTCAACCTGCCCTTCTGCTGCGGATTTGGAGAGCAGGATGTGTGAACTGGATGTCTGACGATCAGCATCCATCGTGTTGCAATGCATCCATCTGCTATATGTAAATGTAACATCCTGTCATTTGTCAGTAGATGGTTTCATTTATCTATTTAAAGATCTGGCACGGCATCACTCCCAAAGATAACCGATACATAATATCTACACTAAATGTTAATGATCGGTTGTAAACATATTAGTTGAAACTCCCTAATTGTATTTAAACTATAACTATGTGAGGAGGAGAGCGGAGCAAGTGAGAGGAGAGAAGGGAGCGGGGGGAGAAAATAAGTCATGTTCTGATTGCTGTAATGAATTTCTAGCCTTTGCATCCATTCAGTACATTCATTACTTCTGACTGAAAAATGATTGAATATCCAAGGGCAGCACGGGTCTTCAATAAAGCCCACCGGAGGAGAAAGAGAGGAAAGGGAGATAATAAGGAGAGACCATGAGCTTCAATGATATGTGTTTATTGTAGAGCATTATGTATATATATCGCACAAATGTGATATCCTGCCTGTTTTAACTGTATATTGATATAAATTGTTCTGAAGGTTTTATAATTTTATTTTACACTGACTAATAAAACATGCTTGAAACAAAAGCTTGTTGCTAATTTTATCTTTTCATTTCTCCTTGTCAAATGAGCATTATATTCAAGATGAAAAACATGAAAAATCAATCACTGGGTGAGTAGCAGTGTTTCATTTGATTTATAATAGTCTTAAGTGTACCATTGGGATGTGCAACATTTAAACACACATATACATAATTAAAAGCAGTATTATCTGGTCTTGCAGCTCTTTAGAGGTGTCAGACATGTCTCTTTAAGATGAAACATCTCAACAATTTGTACTCCTCATTCATTTGTTCTTGTCTGCCATCATACAATATAATTAGGTGTCTCTCACACATTAATTTCCTCAGTGTGAAAATGAGGAAAACACAGGCTAATAAAGGTACCACAGAGAATGTATGTTAGTACATGCATGTGTGTGTGTGTGTACGTGCAGGAGGGCTCATATGTGTTTGTTATTGTCTCAAGGCACTGTGTGCACTTCCATTCAGGTAGCTGGTCTAGCTTCATTAAGGCTAATCAGGCTGAGCGTCTAAATGAAGACCCTGCTATGCATGTCGATAACCTGTTATGTGCTAATGAGGCTGGGGGTGATGATGAAGGAGGGGGAGAAGCAACCCATAGGGTTACACGAGGAATAAATATTGGGTGGTAGATTAAATGAAAGAAGGGGGGTTGTTGTCTCAGTGATCAAACCTCAGTATTTCACTGTATGCTTTCAACTAGTAAATATATATACATAACTGTGTACACCTTTGACTAAAATACATTTCTTAATTATGCGTTCCCTTTTTAACGTGTTCAATGTATGTGTAGTCTGGTTAAAATGTAAGCCAGAGAAGAAATGAGAGAAGAATCAAAAATACTACGCAGTGAATGATAGAAGTCATGCTGGACATATAAGAGTAATAATATAATACGAAAGTATCGCTATTGTTAATGTCAGAAACAGCTCTTTTAAGTATGATGGTTTATTGATCTATTATTGGCCAAGAGAAAGCTAAAATAAGGTTTGAATAAAATATAAAAAGTAAATTGAATAAAGCATAAACATTTAAATGTAGATTTAAAAAAAGTATATTGTTTTTAGTTTGCTTATGAAGAATATAAATTAGATTGACATTACATAAAAAAAAAAAAAAATGTAATACTTAACATCTCAAGAACACCCAGGTGAGATTTGTCAAAGTTTAACAGCTGTATCATTTCATAGGACTAATAAACAATTGAGTATCAGATAAGATTATATATAACATGATGATATAATTTGCATCTGCCCAAGTAGTTTCGTAATATTTCCAGTTACTGCTTCTTTTTTTATAAAAAATTATATATATACAGTATTTTAACTCTGAGAGCACTGTTAAGTTGCATATTCAGATTTGACATTAAACCATATAAGCTATTAAAATATTTGTTAAAAAGTATTTAGCATTAACACTACCTCGAACATTATTACCAATAAAATGCTTACCTTCTAAAGGTTATATCTATGATAATTATCCATACAAATAACATGTCTAACAATATAGAACGTGGTCAGGATTTTTAAAAATAGCTTTACAGGAGGTAGATTTTCTTAAAGTACAACATTTTGTATTTACTGAATGGAAGGATCTGAGTACCTCCACCACTGCATATATATTGAGAATAAAGACTTTCAGGACTTCCAGTAAATTACCAAGACGGAAGAGGGCAAGGAACAAATACAGTACCGAGGACACGGTCCAACTATTATTTTCTCAGAGATCTTTTACGAAGCTTATGACCTTCATCATTTCCTCCCAAATGTATTACATGTGCACTGAAGGTTGACTTTTTAAAAGATGGTAATGCAGCGGCACATGACAAATGACATATTTCCGAAGCAGCATGAGAAAGTGCTTGACCACACTAATAGCTTTCCATTTGCGATATTATTTCCTCTCTGTTGTGTCTCAGTCCGGAGTGGTAGCAAGGAGAAAAAAATATGTTATTATTTCCCTGTGAGTTTGGAAGTACCTTTCCAAATTGTAATAACAGTCGAGTGGAGGAGGCTGAGTCAGGAGGGACTCACGGGAGACAGAGCACTGTGCTAATTTCTATAATGCTCATATACAGCTGCACTGTCCCTATTTGTTCATTACAAATATCAATGAAAAAAAGTATATGAGCAATCCTAATACCCCTCCTGATGCAGCAGATGTCATTTTCTTTGCCCTATTACATTTAGTAATGAAAAATCCACTTGGACAACTCAACCTCTCTTTTAGGCCTCCATCAAAATGAGCAAATGGTTTCTCTTCATGGCAAAAACATACCTCTTTAAGTGTGTGTGTGTGTGTGTGTGTGTGTGTGTGTGTGTGTGTGTGTGTGTGTGTGTGTGTGTGTGTGTGTGTGTGTGTGTGTGTGTGTGTGTGTGTGTGTGTGTGTGTGAGGATGTGAATCATTAAAGGAAAAGAAAATGATAAGTAATTCGGACTTGGGAAACACTACCTTCCTACTTCGTTCTGGCTCATCTGGATGGATGGAGGGGATGATTATCATGGTTTGAAAATAAATGAAGAAAGGACCCATTTCTGCTAATTTACTTTTCAGGGGCTTCTTGTCTTATTCGAGAAAAGTTTTTGCAGTCATGCATTTTCTATAATAAAGCCAAAATAAAACTTTAATATCTCTACTTATAGATTTACTAATAAGACAACATATATTCATTATTATTAATATAATCTAATAACTTCAGCCATCACTTAATAATCATTTGAGATTCTTCCAAACGAGTACATGAGTGTTAAAATGTCCTAAAATCAAAGTACCAAGAGTAAGCCTAGAATAGCCCATTTCTGAATAATATACAATATGATTATTTATAAATTATTTATGAATGAATGTGTATGTGCAACATTTTAACTTTGCAGGTGAGGTGATAATGGTGGAGCTCATTTAACTCTCTGTATGGGTCTTTAATGAAGTCTGAAGATGACAAATGCCAAATGGCCTTTAAGGTCCTTACACACCAAACTGACACCGAAGAACACCAAAGAACCCGTCCCGACCATACAGTCTATGGTCCCGACGGAACGTCGCTTCACGTCTCCTGCGTCTTGGCCATGTTTCGCACTGGAACACACCGCAAAGACTTCAGCCGACGGCCAAGTTGCATGTATGAACTGCGCATGCGTGAGTGGCAATAACTCTCCTTACTAGCAGGCGGCGGTAGTGTGTATTCGTCATTCAAAAGAGGCAACAACCGGAAGACAGACTGAGTGATAACCGAGAGAAGAAGAACAGACTGCGTGATATAAACAAACAACAAATTGCGTGTTCCATTTTCACTCTACAGCGAGAAGCTCATTGTTACGATTATTGTGTTATGTCACGTTTTGTCTTGTTTTTTTGTNATCAAAATATCCATTCTGTATTTTAAAGGTCCCATGTCATGCTTTTCCGGCCCTTTACATGCATAAAAACCTTCATAACACACAAGGGGACGGGTAATAACCGGAAAAGCATGACATGGGACCTTTAAAATACAGAATGGATATTTTGATGTGATAGCTTGCAGTGTTTGAAGCGGGTGGTCTTAACACAGTTGTTGTATTGACAAGCGTGGATATTGGTCAGCACTTTAGGTATATCCAAACTAACCAAAAATCACAAAAAAAATACAAACTCACCAATCTAGGCAGCAACTCGTATGTACTATGAGGTCAAAATGACTGTTTTTATCAATGGGGTCCAGTAGCTTTAAAGAGACCATAGCTAATCTACTTTAGGTAATGCACTGACTATAGAAAATTATCTTATACAACCTAACTTAAACAATCTAAATGATCCTAGGCTGAGAAACCAGGCATCCATTACCATTCTTAAACAAGTATTATATTATATACAATCTGAATTGTTAAAGTTAATTGAATATACCTTGTTGTGGTGCTGGCTCCTGCTGCTGCTCCTCAGGAACTCTCAGCGTCCGACACAGCACCTTGCCCTGTCGGTAACAAAATATATATTATTAAATAATATACACTGCTGTACAAGAATTTCGGGGAATTTGACTTTAACTCTGCTTCAGTAGCTGTACAAAACAGGAACTTTGGACATAATCACTAAACAGGCGGTTAGGTCCAAATAGTCTCAAAGTAAGTAAAACAAATTAAGACGTGAACATTACATTAGATTACATTACATGTCACTTGTTAGACGCTTTTATCCAAAGCGACTTACATACATTCAGTACTGTGGACAATCCCCACAGGAGCAATTTGGGGTGAAGTGTCTTGCCCAGGGACACAACGAAATGCTGACTGCAGTGGGACTCGAACTTGCTATCATCTGATTCGAGGATCAGCGCACTAGCCCACTGAGCCACACCCTCCCTGAAGCCATGAACTGGCTTATATCTGCTTTGACAGACAGACAGCAACAGTTTACCTGTGTATTCCTCTCCACCAGGTCCTCTACTTCCCCACCCAGGACCTTTATGTTGGACGGCCCCAACAGAAGCATCCCAAGTCTGCAAACCATCTTCCCCTGCAGCTGCAGCTTCACACCAGGTCTGAGGGTCAGAAGAAAAAGCAATCCGATATAAACTATTTTTTAAAAATATGTTACAAAAAGGTTTTTTTAAACTAATCGTGTTTTCTTTTTTCCTTGAGAAACTGGCAGTGACGTAGCAGTGATTTTCGATTTCAGGAAATGAACATTTCAAATAACAACTAAATATGTAACAAAGGTTGTTCCGTTTCCTTTAGCTTCCATAGGTTTGAATACATTTATTGTTTTAAAAGAAGGACACCAGAATGCAGGTAAATTAGCTCGGATTGATTCTTACCTGAGAGCTGTGCTGAGTGCAGGGATGGACTGATACTCCATTGCCTCCAAGCTCTGCACTCCATCAGTCACCTGTACAACAGAGACAGAGAATTTGAGCAGGAGCAACCGTACAGGGAAAGTATGACAGATTTACTCAAGAATTCAAGACATACTCAAGAACATATGACAAAAAGCATTTTACCTGTGAAGGCAGTTACTGTAATACTGTACATGTAAATCACAATTACAGTAGGGTGTTTAGCTGCTAAACCGTCCAAAACTTTACTGCTGGTTCGAACCTAGACTGAGGGAATTTCTAAATAGAGGTTTTCCTTTATATTATAAATGCTGGTTGGCCTGAGCTTTCCAAAATTCAAAGCTGGTCAAAGCTTATCTGGACACATCTGCTTCATTACGCTTGCTTTTGACAGTGATTCTAGTGCATTTAAAATGCTATGGGTCTTTGCCCCCATGAGTCCTAGAATTGAGAGACTTTGGATATCGGAGAAAGAAAAAAGAAAAGAAGAAAGGCATTGCAACGTTTCTTAGCAACGCGAAGACTATTCTTGAGAAACCAAAGAGCAGTGACAAGTGTATTACTTAAGGTGAAAATTACAGTCCTTATATTCCAGCAATTTACTCTTTCATATTCTACCACTGATTGGACCTGTCCACTCTCATTCAGTTAGGAAGAGAAGCAGAAGTCCACATTATTCTACCCGAACTAGCACTTAAAAGAAAATCCTGGCTATAGAATATGGTTGGACAGTTGATTGAGCATAATTGCACACACTGGTAAATAGTGTTACTTTGTATTTGTTATACTTTAGTCCCAACCAGTTTGAGCACAATGGTAAAAAAAAAGGCTGTACAATAGTTTTGCTTTCAGACTACAACATCTTCATCTTGAGAGGCTAAAAAAAACATTGTTCAGCCCATTTTGCTTAAAAAATAAATAAATGATCAAAATACTTGGCCATATTTTCCCTGACCGATTAATCTGTGGAGCATCTCAATATCACATATTCTATTTATGACAGGTAATCCAACTGTTTGGGGGCATTCACTTACAAAGAAATACATTTCCAATTCAAAGGGAACATTTTTTTTAATAACTTCTTTATTTCAGACATGCCTCTGACCTGCAACAGTAGCATGCGTGTTGGCCTGGCTTCCCAGGGCCTCTGGGTGGCCTGTGTGACAGCAGACACGTCGTCGTTGGCAACATCTGAGCCCTTCCACTTCTGCAGCTGACCGTACGCAGGCTGACCGATGTCCAGTAATGAGTCAACCTAACACAGAGTGGTACCAATGGTAACATTAACCTTTCGCTGCATATACATTTCTTAAAAATATACTGAACTGCTTGACACAGTCCCATAACAGCATAAATCATATACAGTACTGTTCTGGAGATTTTTTAATTGCTATTCTTCTTTGTGAGTGCTACATGTATCCTGTGGCTCCTCTCATTTTGTCTACGGTACCAACTTACATGTAATTACTCAGTCTCAGGGTTTCCACTTTTAATTTTCTATAGAAAGGAAAAGTGGAATCCTGTAGTGCTTTCTTATAATATCGACTGTACTCCAATCCTTTTTTCCCCTATAATTGCACAATAGCATTTTTCTTGCTGTGTGCTTTTGTCTTTTTGTTACTCAGTTCTATTGGATTTCGGGCAATATTAAATAATCACTTCATGATTATTTTGGCCAGAAGAATTCATCTTTACGATATGTTTGCTATATCAACAAAAAAATTGAAAAATAAAATAGTAATGATAATTATTTCAGTCAGTTAATATTTAATTTGGTTTATTGTGAGATTTTTCTATTATTTCCCAAAAGACTAACACTGAAAACAGGAGTGTAGAGAGAGTCTGTAACCACCACGACTGTACAAAAGATTACAAACAGAACATATTTCAAAAAGGACACTGGATATGTATATACACTATATTATCATTTATGTGATTATTATGATATCAATATTACATTATTTTAAATATCACAGTTATTGTCAATACAAATAAATCTCAACAGCTATTGGCTTATAATCTGGATCACGATAAAGCAAAAGGGAAATATTAAGACTTATTTTATCATAAAGCAACACATTGCTTCAACCACCTTTTTTAAGATAAAAAGCAAAACCAACAGCAAACAAACTAAATAAGTGAATCATAACGTTTTGGCTCCATGAAACAAATAGATGGAAACATTCCGGTAATTTTCTTTTTTCAGTGTGGACTTATATTTGTGCTGTGGCATGATATGAAATACGGAAAATTAAATATATGATCAACAAGTCAGTACCTGGACACAGAAGGTGCCGCTGAGTTCGGTCTTCTGGGCCTGGGAGAGACTCTCCGGGAGGACCGGGTGGCCCAGGTCCCTCAGGTCTGTCAGCAGCCACTGGTCCAGCGCCTAAGATTTCATATCATGCAGTGAGGAACAGGAGGGTTTAAATTGTGAGCAAATCTGTCATTCACAGCAAGTACATCTTCTACTCTTAAGATCTATTTTATAACACTCTAAATTATTTTTATTGTTTTGTAATACTTTTAAAGCTTAGAGCATGATCTTCTTGCACTTTCGACCATCTGCTCTAAGGTTAAATCAGTATTTTTTCCCATTTCTGCAGGAAAAATTACTTAAACGATAAATAAAAAAATCTATAATAGTTGCAGACGTTTTTACTTCTGTCAAATAATTGCTAAATCTCCTGAAAACACTGAATGAATACAGCAGAAATATCAGCTGCCGGTTAGACACTACACCAACACAAGTTACGTTGACTGGGAAGGGGTTAGAGCTTATCAACCAGGAGTCAGTGCATGAGAAAGACCAGGAGGAGATTCATCATGACCAAATGCCAGAGACCATATCCCACCCCACTTCATTTACAAGCACCTGTTATTATGTGATCCTGTCAAGTCCCATACTTGAATGGCGTCTTCAGAACTGTAATGTGATGTAATGTAACTGAACTATCTCAATATCAACAGAGCAGACTGTGGACTCATTATTTTGCATTCAGCTGCACATTAACACATTGAGACATCCTGCATACCTGCTGATTGATTTGCTGCTGTGACAGACGACCTGCTCCTCCAGCCTCCTCCTGCAGCCACTCCACGCAGGCCTCCAGCCAGGCAAAGGGCACCTGAACGTGCCAGGAGGAGCGCAGCCAGGCTTGGGTAGAATGTACCACTGCCTGGACCTCAGGGGCCATCTTCTTTACTTTTGTGTGTATATGACAAGACCAATTTGAGATAATTTCCTCTCTGTTGCTTCTAATTATATAAAGACAGTTACGTTATTTCTATTCAATTGCATTTATCAGTAATGATTCTCCCACAGAGCACACGTTATCAATAACCCATTTTTCAATAAACAAGTAATGGTTCAAATGTCATATATTGTAATTAATGTCACGTCCAGGTACTGTGAAGGGGGAGAACAAAATATAGAGTGAGAATTAGGGATAGCATGCAACAGAATAATAACAAATACAACAACATAATACCAAATAAGTTAATGTTAAAGTAATAGTTGTAGACGTTGCATGAGACATGGATGTAGCCTCTTCCACGAAGTGTTGTGGAAAGCTGCCAAGGCGCCAAAGTTGACTATTTATTTAGTAGTGTTTGCGCACATTAGCTTTGTGCCCATACAACATGACCATAGAAGCTCAGATATTAAACAGTAGTTGATTACAAATAACATGTGTTCCTCTAAAATTACTTAGACATAACCTAAAAGTATCATTGTTGATCAGATCATACCTTATAAATAGGAGTTACTTGAGCAACCAGACTGAAATTCACGGATGTAACAGCACACGGAAATACGGCTTGGAAACGCCTCTTATCTTGTGACCGACGTTTATTCTAGCCAATTGTGACTCTCGGCTGCTTGAGTGGCGTTTTTCTCCGCCAATCGGCACATTTTACCAAAAACCTGTAGATCCAGGTTCGGTAGAGAAGGAAAGGGGACGACTGAGGTGTTGCTCTGCAGGTTTGTGTTTTGACGATGTTTTCATTTGTCTGAACCCAATGTTGTTGAAGTGCACAGGAACTATATAAAGAAACACACATTTAGTGGTGTCTTTGGTCCTTGTTTTGTGTCTGATGCAACGCTGCCTACTTAGCTGGCCCGGCTAACGTTAGCTCCCGTTGTGCACAACCGAAATGATGGCAACATGGCGAAATGAGCTAGCAGCTAGCTTGAGTGGGCACGGGCTGGTCTTTGTATTAATCAAGTTCTCATTTTTTAGTGACTAAACCTCGATAGATAAGAGATATAAACGACACTATGCAGTTTAAGTATATAGTTACGAGTCTTGAATAAGTGAACGTTTGACATTTAGGGGAATTGCTCGATGAAATCAACACGACGAAGCGCGTAGCTAAAATAGCTAGCAACGACAGGATTTAGCCAACGGTCGAAAGGTTAGCTTCAGATGAGCTAAGGTAACGTTAGCTCACTTTCAGTTTTTTAAATCATCAAAAGTAGTACAGTTATTTACCTAAGGTCCGGTCCCAGTTTCTAACTGTCACGTTGCATTGATGGCTACTGATGATTCGCCCAACATGTTATTTCCTGATACAAATGCAGTTATATACATAGTGAGGTTATTTGGATATCTAAGATTTGTACTATTCTCTCATCACTGGCTGATCGACTCGTCTCTTGACTGTAGCACGCGTAGCAGACACCATTAACTCGAAAACAATGCGCAATATTAGTTTCTCTGCACCCAAATACTATGAATATCACGACGCGATACTGTTATAATAATAATAATAATAAGTGTGTCACTTCAATTAATAATAGTCCTACACGATTGCTTTGTTAGTCAAACATCAATCCAAGTGATTCAAACATAGGGAAGGTTTAATGCATATATGATTATAATTGTTCTGTTGCAGACCTTACAAGCCTTTTCATATTACATGTAGTATTTCAACTAGCCTCTCCCTCTCCGACAGGTCGCAGCAGCTGTTTGGTCCTTGCTTATTTAGTTCCGCCTTTCAACACGCCCTTGTCCCTGTAATAAATATCGGTGAGTTGCGAGTTTTATGCCAGTTTTTCTCCCTCGTTTTCCTCGCTAACTTATCTCGAGTTCTCGAATAACCGGATCTCCTGCACATAGCCAGAATTGTCTTAATTATGTTCTCCCCTTTCACAATGCTTACAGACTACCACAGCCTACTGGGGCCAGTTTTCTGCTTCTCTCTCCCTGCTGCTGCCTGTTCTCCGGACAGAGGTGCCCACGCCATCTCCTTTGCTGTCAGAAGACCATGGAGACAGAAATTGAACAGCAAGAGGATTCTTCATTCGGCAACACTGAGACCAACGGTATAACACTTGACATATTTACTCTGTTACTAATGTTTTTTGAGAGGTTTTACAAATGTATCTACTTCTGAAATGTCAGTTTACCATGTAATGAAATTATATGAATGACAGTGTCCTAGCAGCTGATTACTTACAGCTCAGTTTTAATATTGCAAGTTATGTATGATTTTAAATGTTTCACTCTAGGCTTATATTTAATTATCTGTGTGAAAACGACTTCATGTGTTTTCTTTTTTTAAAAACGTTGTCTTTCGATTTTCCAGACCAAGTCTTAAGATTTTGTTCTTCGCTGCTATTTGTGGCCTTTTTGATTATTTCATTGTATCTTGTGTGTGTGTGTGTGTGTGTGTGTGTGTGTGTGTGTGTGTGTGTGTGTGTGTGTGTGTGTGTGTGTGTGTGTGTGTGTGTGTGTGTGTGTGTGTGTGTGTGTGTGTGTGTGTCTCCCTATGCCAGGTAAGCGCCCTGCTGAGGATGCAGAGGATCAGAAATCATTCAAGCGCTCCAGGAACTCTGACGAGATGGTAGAGCTTCGCATCCTCCTGCAGAGCAAAGTAAATTAACTCTCCTTTGATTTAACATGTTTGAGGTCCCTTTCTATGTTGCGCCAATCTAAAAAGACTGCCGATTTCTTATACTCCATTTTGTATTATTTTCTTTTTGTTTCCCGGTACACATCTTTGCCGTTTTGAATAATTTATTTCAACTGGCTTTACTATAGTTTATATTGTTTTCTTTCATATTATGTCTCCAGTTTTTGTAAGTATTCTTTGTGATTTCAGAATGCAGGAGCTGTAATTGGGAAGGGTGGCAAAAACATCAAAGCCCTTCGTACAGACGTGAGTATATTTTATGCATTTCATACACCTTGAACATTATTTAGAATATTCATTTTGTTTGCTTTTTTTATCTCTTCAATGTTGTTCAGCCTTCTAAAACATTGTTTTAATTCAAACCACTTACCCTTGATAGCTGTTTACAATCTAGTTTTGTTTTTTGCAATATTTTATTCTGTGTTAACAAAGGGTGTGGTTGGCTGGTGCCTGTGTTAAGATTAGTCCTCAGCTCATGAAGAATTCTGACAACCTTTTGGGGTTGTTTTTATCTTTTTATTCCCATATGATCCTCGTGATTACCTCAGCTAAACTGGCCCTTGGCACCAAAGTCATGTCCGTTTGTTTCTCCATATAGATCATTAATTCTAACAATGCTGTTGTAGCAACAATGATGCTCTTGTTAATTTAAATGTATTAGCACAGTGCGGTGTTCATGATGTCACCAACAGCTCCAGCTAATACCTTTTTAAGAAGTGTTAAGGCAAACTGATCAATTCTTAATTCATTGAAATGTCATTGCCTCTTTTTCTAGCCCTCCACAATTTGTTCTACCCCTCTCTCTCACTATCTCTGGTCTATTCCCCAACATTGAACTTATCATGTTCTTAATATGCCATTACCCATTTTCCAATGTCACCTTTTCTCCTTTTCTCTCTTTGACAAACCAATCTCTGAGAGAATCAAATAAAAGTCACATTTGAACAGTGTAGAGCCTGTATATTAAAAATGTATTCCTCTTCCCTCTTCCCTCTCCCTTGTTTATTATGTTGACTTTTGCCCACTTCCTCCTCTGTTGCCCATGTTCTGGATGGCCCCTCCTGCGCCCGCCCACCTGACACCCTGGTTGGCCCTGTCCATAATCGTGCCCTGTCCCTAAATGGGCGCCTTACTTGATTGACATCTGTGCTCGAATGGCCCTGGCCCCTGCCCATTCCACGCCCAGTACAATGCCAGTGTGTCAGTCCCAGACAGCAGTGGGCCTGAGCGGTATGTCCCTAAGCTCCTCCCTCTCACTGCCTGACTACAGGTCAAACAAACAACAAGAGATGAATTATAAATAGTCATCCTGCCTCTGTCAAATCACTGTATTTTAATCTACCTGTTCTTTTAAGTATTTTAGCCTAAGTCAAAATGCCTTAATGCGTTCATGTCCAAATCTGCCTGTAAAAGCCATGTCAACATCCTTTTTGAATGTCATTTTTAAAGTCACGTCTCAACATTGAAGCTTAGGCTGGTGTTGTCGGGGTTTTTCCACAATCTGCCACTGTCTTTTTAAATCTTTGCCTTAATCTGTGCAATATGTCTGTTTTGTTTTTTTCTGTTTAAATTTTCATTGATGATTATCTATCCTCCTACCTTTCGCGTTTTCACCTCCTTCCCCCCTCAGAATGGATATACTGGTGTTCTTGTTTTTTAGTTGTTAGTTTTACCTGCTTCTCGCACCATCCCATTCTTTCCTTGAGATGCCCTCATACTGATAGACTCACGTTGTCCATCCATTCTAAAACGCATCAAACAAGCTAGGATTCATGTTGTGTGTGTCTTTCCTTTCTTCTGCTTCATCTGAACGTTGTTATTGACTGCTGGAGCTATTGAACATCAGATAATCCCCCCGTCCCACTCATCCCTGCATTCTTGGTGTTATGTTTATCGCTTCTCCCATCCCCATAAAAAAAAAAAACCTCAGTGGTGGCAGACTTCATTTTCCATGGTATAATCTGCTGTGTTACCCTCACTAAGCTGTCTAGCATTCTACTTCCATGTGCAAACTGCACTTAAGTTCTCCTTGATTAGTAAATTCATTGTTTATTTTATTATGTCACTAGGTGGGTGCAGACAACACAATTCTAATTCATATTTGCTGGCCAAATTTAAGAGTCCACCTTGATAAAAGTGACAGACAGGGTTCTTTTGGTCCCTGTCGTCACAATCTCTCCAAGTTGTGTTTGGCACCTTATTGTAGGTTTTTCTAGTCAAACTATTTGTGGTGTGCATCCACCAAACTGTGCTTTAGGACTTTAGAGTTCTTTCTAGCACCTTTGGTGCTTTTTCCTGCCAGATCCTCCTCAGACTTCCCCCTCCCACGTCTTGGTCACCAAATGCAGTCACTTTTCTTTGGGTCCCTTTTTATTTAGCCTTTTTTCTTCCTTTCTCTGGACAAACATTATTTGGGATACAAGCTTTAATTCAGTTACAGTGACCTTGAAAAGTTTAGAATACACTGGATCTCAACAGTTCATTTATCGGTGTTAGTCTCAGTAATGAGTTGGTTAAATGGGGTGTCATTAATTATTATTGCAAAAAAGGGTTGACACGAATTCTCTAATCTGAAATGTTGTTCCCTCCCCCCCGGGATGTCTTGCTGGCACCCCCAATCCCGTCCTTTCTGTGAATTCTGAAGCATCCTGAGCATCAGTGCCGACATCGATACAGTTGGAGAAATCCTGCTTAAGATTATCCCGACGCTGGAAGAGGTGAGGACTGGTTGAACTTGTTTTCTCTCTGCTCGTGTCCTATTCAACCTAATAAACCTTTTTATTTGGAAGTGAAAACAAATTTGGATATTTACAATGATCAGAAAGGTATGCCTTTTAAATGTGCTTTGTGTTACAGAGATGCTTTTCTAGTTCAAAAGTAATACTTTTTTTACATTTTACTGTAGCAGTTTTGTCATT